TGCTAGGAGGTCAGTTACAACCTGTGGCCCATTCCAGTCTAAATACAGTTACAGAAATAAAAGTACAGTGGTACCTTGGTTCACGAACTTAATTCGTTCTGCGACTCTGGTTGCGACCCAAATTGGTCGCGACCCGAATCAAATATTCCCATAAGGTTCAATGTAATTACGGTTAATCCATTCTGATTATGTTTGTTTTTTTTTAAACCACAAAAATATGATACAAAGTACAGTACGAAGAGAGAGAATGCTAACCTTGCTCGACGCGACTTCTGGCGTGGAGGACAGGAAGACGGGTGGGGAAGCGGTTATTGCTTGGAGGGACAGTCCCCCTCCCTACAGGAAGCCACAACCACGTGTCACGGGAGGGAAAATGGCCGCGGATCCTGTTCGTCACCCGATGTGGCGTTTGCGGACGGAAGCAAAATTTTGCGAACAGAGCTGTTCGTGACCCGAATTGGTCGTGAACAGAAGCGTTCGTGACCCGATGTACCACTGTATCTCAGGACTAGTTAAAAAATGGGGTTGATGAATTGCTTTTGAAATCAGTATACACTCCACATTGGACCTTTCTTTCTTTATGACAGTTTTCCCTTAGGGATGCGGTCATGTTTGACTTTTAAAAGCCTAAGAAGCATTGGATTCCTTTAAACAACTTGATCCTCTGCATTTTCATATGGAGGCTTCCTGATTTTTTAAAGGACAATGTATTTTTGGGAAAAAAACCCAGAAAAATGCAGATTATGCAAAAACATAACTTGACATAATTTCTTTGACATATTGAGGATGTATTTGAGAAACTTAGGATCAGTAAGTAGCTTATAAATCAACAGGCATTGGATTATTACAATGCATGCATATTTGTAAATATTTTATAAATATTTTATGCATATTTTATTTGTGAACCGCGTAGAGTTACTTGTATAGCAAGATGGGTGGTATATAAATTTGATTTATAAATAAATAGACCGTGCTATTTACCAAAAGAAGAATAATCCTGAATGTTTGCTGTTTCCCTCCCACCTCCAAGAAAATAGGAGGATTACATAGGTTATAAATGGGCACAAAAATCCTGCATGCTATCTAGCTTCCCTGCTTTGTGAGCTATTCCCTGCCTCTCACTCACTGAAATTAGTCCTGCATATTTTTCCTCCAAAGGCATGTGTGCATGTGACTGAATTATATATATGTGTACAATGTATATATGCACTGGCCGGAGGCCACACTAAAAAAAAGGAGGGCAGGATCAGGATAAAAATTAATTTTAATTAATTAAAGTTAATTGTCTAAAAATAAGGTAGTCCATTTGTAAACTAAATTTATTTTCTCTTCTGCATATATATACACTATTCTGAAAGTAGTGTATCTATTTGTCTTTCTCAGAGAGAGAGAGAGAGAGACTGGAAATTTGGACTTGTCAATATAAATAGATATATATGGTCTACTATGTAGTAAGTCCTATTGAGTTCCATGGCTATTATTCTTAGGTAGCTATGCATAGACTGCTGCAATGCTGGCAATAGTTCTGTTTATATCCCTGCTTACTGTACATGACAGGGGAAATTGAAGAATAGAGCCTATGGTCTTGTTCATTTTGTTTGCAAAAGGAAACTGGCCTTTTTCCGAACGCAAAAAGGAAACATTATGCTGAGCTACAAACATAAGGAAGCTTATACAAACTTACTCTATAATTAATCCCCCAGTGAGTTCAGCATATTTTATACCCAGCTAAGTATACTTACAACTTGTAGTCTATTCATTCCTTCTCATTTCCATCCACATACTGTATGTGACTATTTGCCATGATGACTCTCTACTAACTGCAGATTCTGATTTTCCAGATTTATCATTTGTGTCTGAAGACTTCTGCATTCATTCCCACGCCCCTTGAAATCATGACAGTGCAGCAGTGCTTTTATTTATACTGCCTTAAAGTTTTACTCCTGGTGGCTCTATTTTACTTGTCCATTGTGGGTGCCTTTATCTGTCCAGTGGTTTCCTTGTTTTAATCTGTGGCTTAAATCCAATTGCTAACTGCTTGAAGATTGCCCAGAAATTGAATTGGCAAGGATTTAGAGATACAGGTGGTGATTGGTACCTGTGAAAGGTGGCACACAGCCCTCTTGGGTTGAAACACTTTTAGTTGCTTTCCAAGCATAATTCAAAGTGCTTACCTTGATTTACAAAGCCTAACCTGCTGTAGGCCCAACTTGCCTGCCTTGCATTATTAGAACTTCAAAGGGACAACTTTCATAATCCTGACACAAATATATGTTAACAGTGACAATTCTGCTTTTTCTTTCATAGAGTTACTACTATGAAATAAACTGCTGTTGGAGATGAGGTTTTCCCTTTCTTTGTTACAATTT